TGTAGCCACTGAAACTTTATCTCCATGAATGAGCAAATGCCTCACTGAGAAAAACAAACCTTAAGCTGAGACAGACAAAAATAAAAAAAAAAGCAGCATTCAGTCCAGTGACCTGAGGCTTCTGGATCTGTGTGCGCATAGTCATATTTCCATACTTGATTGTTTTGTCAGTGTAGGTAAGCATGCTTTGGTGAACTGTCACACACACCAATGACCTCTAATTGCAGAGTCTCTAAGGTGTGTCAGTCCCTCTTTATCTGATAAATGCAGTTTCGAGTGGAATTGCTCACTGAGGAGGTAAATGTTTCCACCTGGACCCACTGCTGTGGTGTGCACATCCACTAACATTCAACCACAGTCCCTCTTTCTCACACACTTCAATAGTTGTCAATAGAAAACACTTGCAGTGCTAGAAAATACAAAATAATGGAACCACAGTAGCTAATCTTTCTACTTCTGACATTATAAATCCTGGTAGAATCATTTCTTCCCATTCTTTATTTCAAATTATAATTACTTTAGTGACATTTCAACAATAGTAAATTACTATATCTGTGTTGACATCCTTTCTTGGAAAAAATGATCTGCCTCATACAGAGTAAAACAGTGTTTTATGTTTTCAGCATCAGCAGCAGAGGTGTGTTAGCCGGCATATAGCCGGCATATAGCCGGGTGTAGCCGGCATCATGGCTGAAGGGACAAAACAGGATTTCACTGAAAGAAAATTTCAGGGAAAAGACAACACTGTAGTGGCCAAACGATCTCTGGGAAGTACGATGCAGACAGCACACCACGGTAATAAGCAGCAAGGACCAAAGATGGAGTCAATAAAAACATCAGAACTTGGTGGTTTACAACTTTAACCTCTTTTAACCTTTCCAACGGGCGGGTCAGTTTCTTCAGATGGATCTTGTGTTGCCACGTAGTTTTCAAATTCAGAGTTGTAGACAAGAAGTCAAGGTTTTCAAAGATACCTAATGAGTTTGGCTGGGCAACTAAAAAAATTCCATTTGATGAAATGCTGCCGCCATTAAAGCCATGACATCTTGGGCCGAAATATTGCACTCGATGTAAGCATGTGGAAAAGGCACAGAAAGGTTAGTTTAAATAAGGAAGACAACATTTTCACTTCCTTGCTGAGAGTCGGATGAGAAGATTGATTCCACTCTCATGACTATACGATACATATGGAGCTACAGCCAGCAGCCGGTTAAGCTTAGCTTAGCTTAGCATAAGGACTGGAAACAGAGGGGAACAGCAGTATCAAAATGGACCTACCAGCACCTCTAAAGCTCACTACTAATACAAGTACTAGTACAACCACAACAAGTTGTGGTTTCACAGGGGGTTATGTGCCAAACTATTTCTTGGAATTTCTTGACTTCCTTGGGTCTCTGCTTGTTGCGTGTCCCTCTGACGGAGCCAGACCAGCTGTTTTCCACTGTTTTCTGTCTTTGTGCTGCACTAATAGGCTGTTAGCTTCGTATTTACAGCACAGATAAGGGAATCGTATTATCTTCTCATCCAACTCTTGGCAAGAAAGCAAATATTTCCTATCAAGCATTCCTTGATTCAAGAAATACAGCACGTTAAAAAAAATTGTGATCCAACAGCAAAATGAAATGAGGAGACCAGGACACGTATTTACAGTGAAACACATCTTGTTCCGCCTTCATCTCCCTCCTTCACATGTTTCGTCCCCTATCGCTACATCAGAGATCGAAACAGGTTTTTCCAGATGATCTGTGGGTTTTTTGAAACCGGCGCAAGGAAGCGAATTCATTCATGCGTTTTTTTTTAACTGTCAGCACTCCAGCACACATCTCCTGTCCGCTCCCTCTCTTAACTCCTCATTCATTCGTTTATCCTCCTAATCAGTACAGTGCCGGTGGCTGAGCAGAGTAATTAGTGTGCTGGACGCAGGCCACCATCCCTCATGAATAAAGCTTTGTTTAACTTTCCTTCCTCGCTGGCATCTCCCCCTTTTTCACTCTTTTCATTTCATTGTTCTTGCTCTGTCTTCTCCCTCTTTCTCTCTGTGGGAGTTTGACATTATAACGGACTGATTTAGACTGTGGTCACATGTAAGTGCAATCATTGGTTCTTGGAAAGCAGTATATTTTTAAGACCTATGATCATAAATGGTCCTAACCGATGGCTCTGCTTGGGTACATATGGAAGCAGTTGAACTCGTGTGACATTAAATATACATACATTTATGCCCCGACTTGGAACCTGACCCTACTGTTCCTCTTGAAGCCTGGGAGGCCTTGTGACTGTTTATTGTTAACTGCTCTCCACGGGAGGCTGTGAGTGCGTGTCTATGTGCGGGTGAATAAGCGTATGTGTTTGTCGTTTTGCTCACCTGGAACAGTGTCGGGGCTTTTGACTGAGCTCCCCTCCGGAGGGCTGTCTCCCACTATGTTGGGGTCATGGGCGCTGGGTGGTGGGGAGAACACCGGTGGTCTGGGGCCCTGCTCCTGCAGCAACTTCTTTGGGACTTCAAAGAGAAAAATAGGTGGAGCAAAAGAGGGGAGTTTGGGAAAGAGGGAATCGAAGAAAAGATAGATAGAGGATCATTAGAAGCTGTCTTGTTGGAAAAGGAGATTTATAACAGCTCTTTCCATTTCAGTTCTGCACTACAGCTCAATCAATCGATTAGGCAATATGGTATTGAAAGCTAAAAAAAATAAAAAATGGGTTGAAAGATACTAAAACAATAAAGAGTGCTAATTCTCTGTGGGTTCATCACTACAAGTGGCCCCTTTCACACACAAGTCGTCATGTGATCCATTGTTAATATAGAGATATTGATTATAACTGCTTTAAATGACAGGACAGGCTGTATTCTGGACAACTATTTTCATTATCACTTCACCTGCTATTTATTTTCTCAGTTAATAAATTAAAAGCGACAAAAAATCGTGACAAAGTCGAGACGATTACATTGTTATTGCTATACTTTCAATAAAAGTACACATCAAGGTCAACATTTCACATGCATTACATCAAACATGTTTTACATAACTCCAATGTTTTTTCAGACTCTTTCACTGATAGAATTGTGCAATCAATTGTAATTGGTTCTTAGTGGCTTCTGCTCCTCCCTCGAGGCAAACAGCTGTAACCAGAGTCTGTATTTTATAGCTGATTCTGTTGAGGCTGATTAAGAGCCATGTTAAAGGCTAAAATGAAAGTAAACATGCTCAAACTTGGGAGTATATTATGACAGAGGAGGAAGGAGCTACGAGGGAGACAGATGTAGTCAGCATCACGGCCATGATTCACACACTCCTCCTGACCTTGCACTCTGATTCCCGAAAGTTAAGCGGCCCCCACCTCATCCCCCAACCTCACAGTGTCCTGTGAGTCAGGGAGTCTGCGATCTTTCCCCCAGACACAAACCCACAATGCAGTGGGCCATACATTCCTGCCCGCTCACATGTGGTTTTGCAGGCCGGGCCACGCTCCGGTCACTGTGTTTGTCTGCCCTGTTAGATCGCTGGTGATTTACAGCCCAACAGATGACTGTCTGTCCAGCTGTCTGTCTGTCTGCCACTCGTGCGTTTTCATTGCTTCTGGACAAACAAATAGGCCGTGAAGAAAAAAAATCTGCTGTCTGGTTTCGCTGACATCAGTAGCACTAATAAGTGAAATTGTGACATGTGATTTGAGGTAAAAATGGACCATTTGTTTAAAGGCCGATGAATAAACACGCTGATCAAATTTCCAGACGGACTTTGGCGGCGGGCCAAGAGCCAATCAAAGTGCAGGAAGGAGCAGAGCAGACCTCACAAAGCTCCCCTCCACTGGATACTACTTACGTCTCGGACACATTACAAAATTTTTCCAGTTGTAAGCAATGATGAAAAGATTTAGCGGGAGCATTTAACTACTGACATTTACAAGTTTGCAATCTCAAGTAGCCTACTTTTATTTCTATGTCATTTTTGCCTTTATTAGACATTTGACAGGAAAAATAGGCGGAGCGTCTTTCCCTCTCCAGACTGCCAATGTCGCAGTTACATGATGTGTTTACAACCACACCGGCCCATCACAACACTGTGTGGTGATACTTGTGATACATGTTGTGGTAAACGCATGAAAACAGCCGTCCATTAGAAGCACATACCTACAGATGAGGAAGTGATGGCTGCCATTTATGACACACCTGCACCTGTGCTCCATTACACTTTGCAGGATGCATTTTCTTTCTTTTTTTTTTTTTTGATATTTTGTGATATAAGTGTAAACATGGAAGTCATACATTATATCTTTGCTTGTAGTGGTTGTGATTTTTTTTTCTGGGATTTGCACAAAGAAAAAAACAAAAGAAGCAGAACTGGTGGCAGAGATGTAGAAGATGGAGAAAGGATTTTTTTTTTTTTTTGCAGTGAGCCGCTCATTCAACTGAGAGAACTGAGCGTTAACAGTCTGGTTAAATCTCAAAAATTAGATTAGGCAAATGCAGGTGCAGGAAAGTTTTATAACAGTACTTACACACACTCACAAAACTGACATCACACATGTTTCTACAGCCAATAAAAACTTAACAAAGTCAATATCTCAGCAAGAAGTTTCACGACAGAGACTTCCTGTTGAGGTTTGAGTATTTCACAAGCGCACCACCGGAAGATTATAGAAAGACCGGCCCAAAAGTACAACATGCATGTTTGATTTAACTGTGACATTGCCAACTTGGATTGTATGAAAGACATTTGAATCCTTCACTAACTCAAGACAGGATCACAGAACAATTGCAGCTGCAGATACAGGACACAGTGCTACTCTGGACCAGTGAGACTGATTAACTTGTGAGAAAGAGCCTTGCAAAGGCAGACCGTAGTACTCTCTAGCTTGTTATATGATACGTAACATATTGTCAGATGGAGCTATATGGAGAAAGCACATATAAGGATATGAGAATTTCTGATACTATCTCACTGCAGGAAAGCTGAGAGCCAATCAACAAAGCCGACTTCAAAGAGTTCAGCTCTATTTGCCGTGAGTGAAAGGGCAGGAGGTTGATGCCTGACTAATAGAAGTAGTAAATGATTTCTGGTCTTTACTTCAATCTCCTTACAGACAGGTTCACCTTACTGCACTGGGGGGGATTTACATTGAAATACCGTTCTGCAATTACATCATCTCATGTGGCAAACCGCACCAATATGTCACCTAACTAGGTTAAAAAAAAACCAAGAAGTTGAAACCGCATTTGTATCCAGGTCTGCTTGGCACAAACTAAATAAACACACCCCCTATGTGCGGAGGTGCGGGTGAAAAAGGTTTCCCCCCCTGTCCTTCCTCATCTGTCTGACACACTAATCGTGGGTCTTAAAAACTCCCCCGCTGCCACGCTGCCACCATCCCCACGCCACGCCCTGATTACAGCCTTCTGATTGGCCCTAATTGAATGCACATGTGGCCCAGGGGTCACAGCTGAGAGACGCCATGGTGTGAAACACACACTCTCGCACATAGGCATTTTTGCACAGCTACAGAACATATAATGGTGATGCGTTCAAAAGCGCACAGCTACACCAGATTCATGTGCATACATAGGACACATACGGATGCATTACCTGGTCCAACACACACTCATCAGCACGTCCCTTCATTCAAATATCTTATGTTTTTCTATGGGCTAACTTTGTTGGCGCGCGTCGGTACAGTATCGTAAATTGACTGCTACTTGTCTAAAAATAATTGTCAAAAAGCTGAAGCCTCTCGAAGCAAAAGGCCACAAACCACACTCAGCGAGCCAAGCAGTAAAAACTGAACCAGCGAAAGAGCGAAAGAGGAGTGCGAGAGAGAGAAACCGAGCACATAAATCACACTCTGCAGTCTGCATTATAATGACATGGTCACATAAACACAAGGCAAATGAGTCCTCGCAAATTCTTAATATAACTCTGCTAACGTGGGACCTGTGCCAGTGCTGTACCTCTCACAGCCCCGCATCGCCATGGGGAGCGAAGATATGAGGCGGGAAAAAGAGTGCCCATAACAATGGCCTGTGTTTACACTGGCAGAGCCCGGCTTTGTTTTCACTGGGCTCTGCAGGACCAGAGTGTGCGTGCATGCCTGTGTGTGTGTGTGTCTGTGTTTGCGGGCCATGTGCTGACCCATGCAGAACGCAGTTGTGACAAATCCCCGTAAGCCAGAGGGGATATAATGAAATATTAAACCACGCTAAATCTGAAATGAGATCAGACCTAGGCCAATAATTTGAACATACTTTAGCCTCTATGAGTGCACACAGGGGGCTGCGAGGGAATAAATATTTTGGGTATTGTTTTAGGGCTATCTTTAATACTCCGTCTGGTTTATCTCGCTGAGACTTTGGCCCTTAAATAGACAGCTTAATCCACAGTATGACCATTCTGCGATGCACATTCTTAATGTGGTGACCCTCATCTAAATTATACTCTACAATGGGTGAAGCAAAATTCAAGAATCATGTGCAATTTGAGCCAGGTCTGGTTGAGATGCGCTATATGTTCATTAAAAGACATAGAAAAGACAGGGGGAGAGTGTACAACTGAATCTTTTGACAGGAGGTGGAATTATTTTGCAGCTGCATAAAAATATGGAGAGTTTTGTTTCAAATCAGATATCCACCACTTGAAAAATAGCATGAATCTTGAAATAGTTATGTAGTGGATAACACAGGTGCTTAGATGATAAAATGTGTAACACTTTTAACAGTCATTTCCTGAAAGGGATATACTGTACAGCAAATTGGAAAAAAAAAAAAAGAAAAAAAAAAAAGGCGCATTGAAACAATGTGCTGGTGTAAAAAAGTCTAAGCATCTGTTTTCAATCAGGACACAGTGCCTACTTTATCTACAACATTAAAGTGCTGTTAAAGCCCAACATTCACTTGATAGACATGAAAACTCAAAGGTTCCACCTCAATGTTTATGGACACACTTAGACTTCAAAATGCTTCTTATTCCCTTTAAGCTCCTTCTCCTGCTTCCCACACACAGACACCACACAGACAGGCATGCAGACATCTGCACGCTCACATTCACAAGCCCATCCACCCACCCCCCCACACACACACACACACACACACACACGAACATACAACTATTTTTCACATAGCTAATGGCATTCCTGCAGAACAACATGCAAGGTGAAGAGGGCAGGAGCTGAAGGTGTTGAGATTGCATTCCTCCTCTCCTCTCCTCTCCCTCCCTTCTTCATCTTCTCTCCAAGCCCCACCACCGTAACACTCTTAACAGTATCCAGCTGACAGCAGCTGATTGGGCTTGAGTGTCTGTGTGTGTGTGTGCGTCTGTGTCTGTGTGTGTGTGTGTGTTTGTGCCCTTTCGACAGCCTCCTTTATACCGACGAGACTGTGTATTGTTTAGATGAGGATGGCGCAGTGTATAGATGTGAATACGTGTATGTGAGTGGTTGCTGCAGTATTAGTGTCATGTTTATCTTTCCTCTGATGAATGTTCTCCCTCTACCTCACACTGCGAAGAT